AACTCTGAACCGATTTTCTCGAAACTTGGCACACATCAATCTATATTCAGTACTCTATGCCGAATTTCGTGCAAATCGAATGATATATGCGGACTTTGGTGCACCATTTACCTTAAATCGGACGAAACTATATATGGGAGCTATATCTAAATCTGAACCGATTTTCTCGAAACTTGGCACACATCATTCCGGACCTAATTTAGTGCTCTATGCCAAATTTCTGGACTTAATTCAGTGCCCTATGCCAAATTTCGTGCAAATCGAATGATATATAGGGACTTTGGTGCACCATTTACCTTAAATCGGACGAAACTAAATATGGGAGCTATATCTAAATCTGAACCGATTTTCTCGAAACTTGGCACACATCATTCCGGACCTAATTTAGTACTCTATGCCAAATTTCGTGCAAATCGAATGATACCTAAGGACTTTGGTGCACCATTTACCTTAAATCGAACGAAACTATGTATGGGAGCTATATCTAACTCTGAACCGATTTTCTCGAAACTTGGCACACATCAATCTAGACCTAATTCAGTACTCTATGCCGAATTTCGTGCAAATCGAATGATATATGCGGACTTTGGTGCACCATTTACCTTAAATCGGACGAAACTATATATGGGAGCTATATCTAAATCTGAACCGATTTTCTCGAAACTTGGCACACATCATTCCGGACCTAATTTAGTGCTCTATGCCAAATTTCTGGACTTAATTCAGTGCCCTATGCCAAATTTCGTGCAAATCGAATGATATATAGGGACTTTGGTGCACCATTTACCTTAAATCGGACGAAACTAAATATGGGAGCTATATCTAAATCTGAACCGATTTTCTCGAAACTTGGCACACATCATTCCGGACCTAATTTAGTACTCTATGCCAAATTTCGTGCAAATCGAATGATACCTAAGGACTTTGGTGCACCATTTACCTTAAATCGGACGAAACTATGTATGGGAGCTATATCTAGCTCTGAACCGATTTTCTCGAAACTTGGCACACATCATTCTAGACCTAATTCAGTACTCTATGCCGAATTTCGTGCAAATCGAATGATATATGCGGACTTTGGTGCACCATTTACCTTAAATCGGACGAAACTATATATGGGAGCTATATCTAAATCTGAACCGATTTTCTCGAAACTTGGCACACATAATTCCGGACCTAATTTAGTGCTCTATGCCAAATTTCGCGCAAATCGAATGATATCTAAGGACTTTGGTTTCCCATTTACCTTAAATCGGTCGAAAATATATATGGGAGCTATATCTAAATCTGAACCGATTTTTCCCAATTTCAATAGGGTTCGTCCTTGGGCCGAATAAGTGACTTGTGCCAAATTTCATCCAAATCGGATCATAAATACGACCTGTACTTTGTTTACAATTTAACATCTAGAGACGGACAGACGGACGGACAGACTGACGGACATGCATAAATCGACTCAGAAAGTGATTCTAAAGGAACCATGTGTCAAAAGGAACCATGTGTCTATCTCGTTTCCTTTTGCCTGTTACAAACATATGCACAAAGACATAATACCCTGTACCACAGTGTGGTGAAAGGTATAAAAATAGATATCTGATTTGTTCCGCGTTTTGAGTTTGGTTCTAAGACTCTGTTGTAATCATTTCACCTGCGGAGATAAAAAAATTAGAACGTAAGGTTCGATAATGAACTATAGCCGCATTTAGACCTAGCCCCTGTGTGGAGGTTTCTGAAGGAGTGGACCGATATTCCCCATCTTCGAATTTGAATTATCAATTAAAAATTTCTGAAATTTGTATTATGGTTTACATAATCCGTTTTTAGACATGTCGGTATAGGTCCACTTTTTGGTATGTTCCCTACATTTTCATTTCTAGTACCTTTCAGTATATCTATGGTGGAGGGTATCCAAAGTTCGGCCCGGCCGAACATAACGCTTTTTCACTTGTTTTATTTTAAGCACTAAAGGGTCAATGTGAAAATAAACACTTGTTTATAAATATATGAACCATTGTAAAAAGTACACTAACCGCAATCTTCTCTCACAAACTGATTGAAGTGTCACAATGTAATTTGAAACAATTCTCAGAAAATAAAAAAAACGAATGCGTATTTGAAATTTGATACAGAGTAACTTTATACTTTTTGACATCTTATAATGATTAGAATGTCTATTTTTTTTTTCTCATGCTTTTAAATTGTATTATAAAAAACGTAATTTGGTGAACATCGGAACGTATGTAACTGTATAGCCAGTTGTGACAGCTTACATTAACTGTAAATAATATAAATAAGTATCTTTTAATATATGCTATTTTATTTGAAAATTACAACGAAAAATCGTTGTCATAAATGGATTGGGGAAAATACATTGACCGAAATCTTCTCTCACAAAAACGATTCTTAGAAAAAAGCTAAATTACAAACAAGTGTTAAACATTTATGCTATATTATTAGTCTTGTCATATGATTTTTATACCCTCCACCATAGTATGGAGTGTATATTAATTTTATTTTTCCGTTTGTAACACATCGAAATAATCATTCCCGACCCTAGCGAAAAGTTTCCCTTGATCAGCGTAAAATTCTATGACTATATAGCCATGTGCGTCTGTCTGTTGTAATCACTCTAGCCTCTAAACGAATTGAGATATATCGCCAAAATTTTGCATAAAGTCGTCTATTGTCTGCAGGCAGGTCAAGTTCGATGATGGGCTATATCGATCCACGTTTATCCATATAAGGGTACCAAACCAATTTTCGGTATTTTGAAGTTCTTAAGCGCACTTTTCAACCGAATTCGCTAAAATTTGGTATATTGGGTTCATATTGGCTACCAAATCTCTCCACTAAAAATTATAACTATAGGTTCATTTTGCCGGAAGCCCCCATACAACGGTACCCCCCAATTTTCAGTTTTCGGGCAGCGGTATTGACCGAATTGGCTGTAATTCACGAAACTTAACACACATCATTCTAGTCTTAGTTCAGTACGCTATGCCAAATGTTGTGCCAATCGAATGATTTTCAGAAATGTTGATGCACCATTTACCTAAAATCGGGCGAAACTATATATGGGAGCTAAACCTAAATCGGAACCGATTTTCACGAAACTTAACAAACATCATTCTAGTCTTAGTTCAGTATGCTATGCCAAATTTCGTGCCAATCGAATGATTTTCAGAAACTTTGGTGCACCATTTACGTAAAATCGGGCGAAACTATATATGGGAGCTATAATAAATCTGAACCGATTTTTAATAATTTTGTTAAAAAAAAAAATTCAACAGTATTATTATGTCCTGCCATATATTCATCTAAATATGTTTGAAAATCCTTTGGAAGGAGTCACCCGCCGAGGCCTGATGAGAACTCTTGCTGTCACCCGAATACGGGTGGCGTGACCTGATGAGAACTTTTGCTGTCACCCGAATACGGGTGACACGGCAGTTAACGTATTCAAGATTGAGAATCACTCTTGCCGTCACTTGATGCTGACACAATAAATCGGTTATATCTTCAAGAGGTATCGAGATTTTCACTTGAATTTTTTTAGGGACATTCTTGAATTAGTGTAGATTCGAATTAAATCAAACCCCTTTTTGGGGTTTTTAGGAAAAATCTCCCTTAAAAATTACCAAATTGTATTTGGTGTACTTTATGTTTTACATAAATCGGTTAATTGAATTTGTCGGTATGGGTCCACTTTGGAATGTTCCCTATATTTTAATTTCAAGCAATATACCTATGGTGGAGGGTATCCAAAGGTTTTCCAACCTGAGTATCTCTTATTTCGAACATTTTATTTTTCAGAGTATGAACAACCCTTTAACCACAAAATGCAATAGCATTGTCCCCACATAAACCAGTAAGGAAAGTTGTAAAGTCGGACTGGGCCGACTATATGATACCCTTCACCACTTTGGGTATATTCTACATATGTATCCTAACAGACGTAGCGTGTTTGTTATATATCTATATCTGAACCGATTTCAGTGAAACTTGCCAGAGACTAATTTATATTACTTCAGTACGTTGTGTCAATCGGATCTTTTCACGAAGCTTAGCAACATCATTCTAGACTTAATTTAGTACGTTATGCCAAATTTAGTGCAAATCGAAAGATATAGGGACTTTGGTGCACCATTTACCTTAAATCGGATGAGACTATATATGGGAGCTATATCTAAATCTGACCCGATTTTCTCGAAACTTAGCACACATCATTCGTTAATTAATTCAGTACGCTATGCCAAATTTTGTGCAAATCGAAAGATATATAGGGACTTTGGCACACCATTTACCTTAAATCGGGCGAAGATATATTCGGGAGCTATATCTAAATCTGAACCGATTTCCACGAAACTTTGCACACATCATTCTAGACCTCATTTAGTACGCTATGCCAAATTTCGTGCAAAACGAAAGATATATAGAGACTTTGGTGCACCATTTACCTTAAATCGGACGAAAATATATATGGGAGCTATATCTAAATCTGAACCGATTTTTCCCATTTTCAATAGGGTTCGTCCTTGGGCCAATTAAGTAACCTGTGCCAAAAATACATGGACGGACGGACATGCATAAATCGACTCAGAAAGTGATTCTATGCATATTCTCAAAAGGAACCATGGGTGTATCTCGATTATTTTTGCCTGTTACAAACATATGCACAAAGACATAATACCCTGTACCACACTGTGGTGAAGGGTATAAAAAATGACCACCACCTGTTGAAGGTTTTCACTCCTGTCGAACTTAATGACTTTTATCCTTGTTTTTCTGTTATGTTTCGTTTTTCTTAAAATCGTGGGATATATTCAGTATCAATCTTCACCCACTCATTTTACTTCGCCAGAGATAATGATACGTAAACATAATTTATGTTGTAAATATTTACCAAGAAATTGCGGACTATTATTAGCTTCTTTGGCATTTTTGCGACACACATTCCATTACCGTTAATAACTCTTCCTTCCTATTGTTGTATTCACCAGGTACACATTGACATAAACGGTGATGCCGAGGGGAATTATTCGGTAATCTCTTTGCAGAGTGATTCGAATAGCCTGTTGAACAAGGCTAACTCCTTGGCGAAAATGTCCATGCAACCAGTTGGTTATTTCGTTTTCAATAAACAATCAATCATTCCGGTAAGTACACACTAAGGGAGTGGGTGTTTCATTCGGCCCCAGAAAAAGAAAAAAACATCCACTATCGATATGAGGGTGCCATACAACAGGCCTGCAATAATTAAGGATATTTTATTTTGTTTTTCTTTGCAGGAATTTCGTTACGTCAAACCCGATCGACCCATACAATGGCTGAAAGGACGACCACCACTATGTGAACCTCTGTGTGGTTTCCATGGCGAACTGTGCCCTAAACGACGACTCGATTGGCGTTACATGACATCGGGTTCATTTTTCGGACTATTTGTTGTCATTGCTGCCGTATTCCTAATTAAGTAGTGAACATTTTTTTTGTAATTTTTTCCACACACACACACACACACATATCTGTTGTTGTTTTTCTCGATGTTTACTTACTTATTTGCGCTCTTCTTGTTCATCTTCTGCGAATTGTTTATTTTAATAATGAAAATTCCGAATGCGCCTTAAATGACATGCAATTTTTTCCAATCAATATAATTGTCGCATGATTTGCTCTCGCTCGCTCACCATGTTTTCGATGTATGACATTGTTGCAGTTGTCGTTCGACAACATCATTCGAAAGTAATACGAAATGTCTTTGTTCTTTTCGACTCTGTTGCAGGCACTATCGCTACGAACAAACGTTAGCGGGACTACTGTGGAAAATTGACATGAAAGATGTAACAATTATTAACATGGAAAATGCCAACGATTACAATAGTACCCTGAAGAATAAAAATATTGTAAGTAGTCCTCGCACGGAAGAGAACTTTTTACTTGCAGTAATTAAAAAAAGAATAATATTTTTATTTTTCGTTTTTCATTTCTTTTCTTTTTTCCTGTAGTATCAAATATGTCGACAAAGTATATTAACTGGAGGTGATACAAATAAAAAGGCCTTCACAAATATAGGTAAGACTAAAAAACTTCATTTGTATTTGTGTTTAAATATGAAGGGATATTGTGTACTACTGAGGATGTCATCATTTTACACTTTGATGCAGCAAAACTGTGTTTCAACGAAATATCGGTTGATTTGGTCGATTTGCAAATGTCCGTCCGTCTGTCTGTCTTGCAGGCTGATGCGCACGATAATGAAATCGGTTGTATTATTCCTTCCAATCTTATATATAGTTCAAAGATGGAAAATATCGATCAAATACTTTTGGTGCCTCAGCCACAAAATGGTCAAAATGTTGCTGAAAATCAAAAAAAAAAAACAGTAAGGAAAGTAGTAAAGTCGGACGGGGCCGACTATATGATACCCTTCACCACTATGGGTATATTAAACAGGACTATTAACATGAAATTGGATGAAATAAAATATGTGATATTTTTCTAAATGTGAATCTACCTAGATCTATCCATAAACATGTCATTCGTTTGTTACAATGGGACAAAAGTATGTAAATCGACTTCAAACAAATATAAATAGGTCATCCGTTGGGCTATATCTGTACTTCTAGAAAACGCAACTACGTAATTCTATGCTCAATTTTGTAAGTTGTGCAAAATTTGATGTCAATCTGACTAACATGAGGAGTTTGATGCCCTATTTACTTGAAATCGGACGAAACTATATATGGGAGCTTTATCTAAATCAGGACCGATTTTCTCAAAACTTAGCAGACATCACTCTAGGCTGAATTCAGTACGTTATGCCAAATTTCCTGCAAATCGAAGGATATATAGGGACTTTGGTGCACCATTTACATAAAATCGGACGAAACTACATATGTGAGCTTTATCTAAATCAGGACCGATTTTCTCAAAACTTGGCAGACATCACTCTAGGCTGAATTCAGTACGTTATGCCAAATTTCCTGAAAATCGAAGGATATATAGGGATTTTGGTGCACCATTTACATGAAATCGGACGAAACTATATATGGGAGCTATATCTAAATCTGAACCGATATTCTCGAAACTTGGCAGACATCACTCTAGGCTTAATTCAATACATTATGCCAAATTTCGTTCAAATCGAATGAAATATAAAGACTTTGGGGCACCATTTACATGAAATCGGACGATACTATATATGGGAGCTATATCTAAATCTTGACCGATTTTCACGAAACTTGGCAGACATCATTCTAGACCTAAATGATTAGGCTGTACCAAATTTCGTGCAAATCGAAAGATATATAGGGACCGTTTACATTAAATCGGTTAAATATATATATGGGAGCTATATCTAAATCTGAACCGATTTTTCCCAATTTCAATAGGGTTCGTCAGACAGACGGACGGACGGACGGACATGCATAAATCGACTTAGAAAGTGATTCTATGCATATTCTCAAAAGGAACCATTTGTCTATCTCGTTTCCTTTTGCATGTTACAAACATATGCACAAAGACATAATACCCTGTACCACAGTGTGGTGAAGGGTATAAAAACAGACTATATGATACCCTTCACCACTTTGGGTATATTCAACAGATGAATCTTAACAGACGTCGCACTTTTGAAGGACCAGTAAAATGAAATTGGACCCATAAACATGTATTTCTGCAACTTATACTAAATTTTTCATTTGGTCAGATATAGAGTTCTTTTCAATGGGACAAAATCATTTAAATCAATTTAAAGCATATATCAATCGGATACCCGTTGATTATTTGGATACATATCTGATTAACATGAGGAGTTTGGTGCGCCATTTACTTCAAATCGGACGAAAATATATATATAAGCTATATCGAAATCTAAGCCGATTTCTTCGAAACTTCGGCCATATTTTGAGTTATTGGTGCATCATTTAGTTAAAATCGGTAGAAAATATGTATGGTAGCTCTATCCAAATTTGAACCGATTAAATAAAACTTTCCACGTGCTAGGTTATATAAACTATATAACTTTGGGGCTTTGGTGCACATTTTACTTAAAATCTGATGAAACTATATATAGGAACTATATCTAAATCTGAACCAATTTCAACAAAACTTGCCACACGTTATCTCATAATAACTTTAATAAGTTGTGCAAAATTTTATGCCAATCGGACCCACCTGGGGAATTTTTGCAGCATTTATATCTAACTTATAAAATTTACAGTTCATTTAAATTAGGATATATGTGGACGAAAATGTATATGGGAGCTATATCCAAATCTGGAGCGATTTTCAGGAAACTTAACACACATCATTATATACTTCATTCAGTACGATATGCCAAATTTCGTGCAAATCGAAAGATATATAGGGACTCTGAAGCACTACTTATCTAAAATCAGACGGAAATATATATGGGAGCTATATCTAAATCTGAACTTAGCACACATCTTTATATACTTCATTCAGTACGATATGCCAAATTTCGTGCAATTCATAAGATATATAGGGACTCTGAACCACTACTTATCTAAAATCGGACGAAAATATATATGGGAGCTATATCTAAATCTGAACCGATTTTCACGAAACTTAGCACACATAATTCTAGGCTTAATTCATTACACTATACCAAATTTCGTGCAAAACGAAGGATATTTAGGGACTTTGGTACACCATTTTCCTTAAATCGGACGATAATATATATGGGAGCTATATCTAAATCGGAACCGATTTTCACGAAACTTAACACACACCATTCCAGACTTTATTCAGTTCGCTATACCAAATTTTGTGCAAATCGAAAGATATTTAGGGACTTTGGTGCACCATTTACCTTAAATCGGACGAAAATATATATGTAAGCTATATCTAAATCGAAACCGATTTTCACGAAACTTAGCACACATAATTCTAGGCTTATGTCAGTACGCTGTCCCAAATTTCGTGCAAATCGAAAGATATTTAGGGACATTAGTGGACTAATTACCTAAAATCGGGCAAAACTATATATGGGAGCTATATCTAAATCTGAACCGATTTTCATGAAACTTAGCACACATAATTCTAGGCTTAATTAAGTACGCTCTGCCAAATTTCGTGCAAAGCGAAAGATATATAGGGACTTTGGTGCACCATTTACCATAAATCGGACGAAAATATATATGGGAGCTATATCTAAATCTGAACCGATTTTTCCCAATTTCAATAGGGTTCGTCCTTAGGCCAAATAAGTGACGTATGCCAAATTTCATCCAATTGGGATAATAAATGCGACCTGTACTTTGTTTACAATTTAACATGGACAGACAGACTGACAGACGGACGGAAGGACATGCATAAATCGACTTAAAAAGGAAAAAACCAGTAAGAAAAGCAGTAAAGTCGGATGGGGCCAACTATATATATATGTGATACCCTTCACCACTTTGGGTATATTGTACATATGTATCCCCTCCATGGAACATACGCAAGTCTTTTTGCAACCTATGATAAATATAATTTCATTCGGGCAGATTTAAAGTCGACTTCGTACCATGGGACAAATTTATGAAAAACGACTTATATATACAAAATTAATATAGGCTATTCGGTCGACGCACTGTTAAAATTTTAATTTCATTTAGACATCAATTCGAAATACATATGAAAGCTATGACAGCATCTACATCAATTTCCAAATTTCATGCAAATCGAAAGGTATATAGAAACTTTGGTGCACCATTTACATAGAATCGGAAAAAAACTATATATGGGAGCTATATCTAAATCTGAACCAATTTTCACGAAACTTAGCACACATCATTTTGGACCTAATTCAGTACTCTATGCCAAATTTCGTGCACATCGAATGCCATATAGGGGCTTTGGTGCGCCATTTACCGATTTTAACGAAACGAAGCACGCATCATTCTAGGTTCAGTTCAGTACTCGATGCCAAATTTCGTGCAAATCGATACACCATTTACATTAAATCAGACCAAAACACATATGGGAGCTATATCTAAATCTGAACCGATTTTCTCGAAACTTAACACACATCATTCTAGACTTAAATCAGTGCGCCTCGCCAACTTTCGTTCAGATGAAAGATATATAGGAGTTTTGGTGGATTATTTACATTAAGTCGGACGAAAATATATATTGGAGTTATATCTAAATCTGAAACGTTTTTCACGAAACTTTGCAGACATCATTTAAAACCCAATTCAGTATGCTGTGCCAAATTGCGTGCAAATGGAAAAATATATAGGGACTATGGTACACCATGTATTTTGCCCCTTTTTACCATAAATCGGACGAAACAATATACGGGCGCTATATGTAAATCTGAACCGATTTCCACGATCATTCACATCATTCATCATTCGCGACATAATTCAGTGCACCGCGCCAAATCTCGAGGAAATCGAAAGAACTGAACTGAACTGATTTTTTCCCAATTTCAATAGGTTTCGTCCTTGGGTCAAATAAATGAGCTTTGCCAAATTTCATCCAATTCGGATGATAAATGCGACCTGTACTTTGTTTGCCTGTAACAAACATATGCACAAAGACATAATACCCTGTACCACATTGTGGCGAAGGGTATATAACCGCTATATGGGGGTTGGGGTCTATTCTACGAATTGGTTTAAATTTAATATCTTTTCAAAGGGAAATTTGTCTACCCAATAAGAATCAAAAATTTTAAATTACTGGATATATTATTAGGGTTGCCAAGCTGGCTGGATTGTCCAGATTTTTATGAATCTGAATCTGCCAAACCTTCATTTTTTCCTACTGGCAGAACATTTTCTATGTACGTCCATATTTTGAAATATTCCTAAATTATGTTAACTTTCAAAGCATATAAAATGCGTTTTTTGTGTTTCCTTCTGCATTTTACACACAAACGTACCACATTGTCGTATAGACAATAAAAATTAAGAAAAATATATTTCAAATCTCCCATCTTTTATATTTCCTTACAGGTTTATACCGTGGCAACATAGTTGCCATGAAAAGAGTATATAAGAAAACTGTAGATATAACACGTTCCATTCGTAAGGAATTAAAACAAATGCGAGAGGTAAGGTGGACTTGAACATTTTCCAAATATTATAAAAAAACAAAATTTGCTTAATCATTTCATTACAGCTTCGTCATGAGAATATCATCAATTTTATTGGTGTCTCAATTGATCATGGAAATGTCATCATATTCACTACGTATTGTGCCCGGGGTAGTCTCGAGGATGTTCTGGCCAATGACGATTTACATTTGGATCACATGTTCATTTCGTCATTGGTCAGTGATATACTTAAGGGTATGATTGCCCTACATGATTCGGAAATTGTATCACATGGTAATTTGAGATCGAGTAATTGCCTAATCGATTCCCGTTGGGTTTGTCAGATCTCAGATTTTGGTCTGCACGAATTTAAATACGGACAAGAGGAACCGCACAAGTAAGTTGAGATTTAAGATATGTTTTTTTTATTCTCCTTCATTTTGGGCATCTAAAGGACATTTATCGTAATTAAAGGAAACTTCAAGCTTTCAACACTCTTCAAGAATTTAATTTTCTTTTTCTTTGGCTTGAAACTTGTTGGCCATGTTAACAACTAACCACAACGTGTGGTTATTGTCTTTATGGATTTTCAAGAAATAAAAACTGTCATCCTAAAATGAAAACAAAAACTGATTTTAAAAGCATTGTAAAATTTCGGGCACAAATTTGTTGTCATTGTCCCTCCCACACTAATGGTTTGTTTTGTGTGTGTGTGAGTGACATTGTTGTTTCTGTTTTTTGTTGTTTTTTCACAGAAGAGATTTGGAATTAAAACGTGCCTTGTGGAAAGCTCCTGAACTGTTAAGAGATCCATCGCCACCAGCTCGTGGCACCCAAAAGGGCGATGTCTACGCATTTGGTATTGTTTTATATGAGATTATTGGTCGCAAGGGCCCTTGGGGCACAACATCCTACTCAAATGAGGGTAAGTTGTATTTTTTTTTCAATGATAATAAATAAATGTTCTTTGAAAAAATGGATGTGGTATTTAGGGGTCATTGTCAGGCAGTCGTCACTAAAAGTTGACAATGGTTTCTCTCGAAGATAAATGACACTTAATGGAGGAAATGTCAGGCGCGTTTTTATTTTTAACCACAAAAATAAATAATTTTGTCGAATTAGCCAGGACAGCTCATAAACACACTGAACATAAAATTCACGATTGCAAATGTGGTGATACATTGAAGCTTCAACAGGCTTGTAGGATGCATTTCCTACATTAAACTGGGGACCCTGTATAAAGCTATCCTAAAGCATGGTTCTGCATTACCTGCGAAGAACTCCGAAAATCCAAAATTTTGCGAAAACGTTGTATCATGGTCAAAATAGTAGTTTAAATTTAAAATCGATAAGAATAAGAAGAAACAAGTGAAGAAGCGGTAAGTTCGGCCGGGCCGAACTTTGGATACCCTCGACCATAGATATATTGACAGCAACTAGAAATGAAAATATAGGGAACATACCAAAAAGGGGACCTATACCGAGATTTCTAAAAACGGATTATGTAAATCATAATACAAATGTTAGAAATTTTTAATGGATAATTATACCCTCAGCCTTATGGCTAATGAGGGTGTATACACATTACACCGTGAAAATATGCCTCATCGAAATATTGATTTTAGACCCCATGTTTCTTTGGACCAAATCCGTTTCAGAAAACTTAGATTTCATCCAAACTTTGCCCATCTTATTATTTCTTCCAAACTTAGTTAAAATTCGAAGATGGGGAATATCGGACCACTCCTTCTGGTACCTCCCACACAGGGGCTAGGTCTAAATACGGGTTATAGTTCATTATCGAACCTTACGTGCTAGTTTTTTATCTCGATATCATCCGCAGGTGATATAGTTGCATAACTATTTGAATATAAAAAAACCGTTATATGGGGACAAAATACCAAATTGCAGCGAATTCGGTTGAAAAACGTGCTCAAGAACCTCAAAATAGCGAAAATTGGGGGTACCCTTATATTGGAGCTACCAGAAAAATTGGACCTATATTTATATTTTTTAGTGGAGAGATTTGGTACCCAATAAGAACTCAAAGTACGAAATTTCAGTCAATTCGGTTGAAAACTACGATCAAAACCCCCAAAATACTGAAAATTAGAGGGCACCGTTACATGGGGGCAACCAGAAAAAATGGACCTATATGTATAATTTTTTGTGACGAAATTGGGTACCCAATAGCAACTCAATATAATTTCAGCGAATTCGATTGGAAACCGCCCTCAAGAACCCAAAAATATCGAAAATTTGGCGTACCCTTATAGGGGGGGCTATCCCTAAACGTGGATCGATATAGCTCATCTTCGAACTTGACCTGCCTGCAACTCTACCAAAATTTTGGCCATATCTCAATTCGTTTAGAGGCTAGGACATGTCTAAATCGGCAAAGAAGTTTACGCTGATCGCGAATAAATATACTTTATAAGGTTTATAGGTACTTTATATGGTGTTAGCTTATATATATATATATACCCTCCAGTACACTATGATGGAGGGTATAACAAGTAAAAAAGCACAAAGTTCGGCCGGCCTTACCTTCGGTTTAAAAAGCGTGTACGAAATCTTAAACTACCGCAAATTTGGAGATTCTTTTATATGAAGGCTATTCCAAAACGAGGACCGATATAGCCCATCATCGAACTTGATTTGACTTGACGAACGGACGGACATGGCTTGGATCGGAAATTAATGTTTTGAGGGGTTACACACGGAAAAACAAACTTCAAATACCCTCTGTACTATGATGGAGGGTATAATAATTCGTAAAAACAAATGTATGTTCACAATTCGAATAGTACAGTCAAATAGAGACAAACAAATTCGGTTTATGGAGTACGCATTATCGAAATTTTAATGTATTTCTCATATTTTAGATTTGTCATTATATAGAAAATCTTCTTAATTAAAATGATCAATATTGGCCCCAGTTTCAGAATAGCCTCCTCTAACTGTAGTCTTTGACTACGTTGTACCAATCGTACGTCCATGGCATCCGGCCTGAATTTGACTCTTTGGTGCACAATTCACTAAAAATCGCATTCGGTAAAAATTTTACTCTTTGGTGCACAATTCACTAAAAATCGTAAGAAATTATATATGGGAGCTATATCTAAATCTGAACCGATTTCAATAAAACTTGGCACATGTTAGACTATTCTAACTTCAGTACTATGTACAAAATTTCGTGCCATTCGGCCTAAATTTTACTCTTTGGTGCACAATTCACTAAAAATCGGAGGAAAATATATATGGGAGCTATATCTAAATCTGAACCGATTTTAATAAAACTTGGCACACTTTAGACTATCCTAACTTCAGTACTCCGTACAAAATTTCGTGCCATTTGGCCTAAATTTGACTCTTTGCTAAATATCGGACGAAAATATATATGGGAGCTATATTTAAATCTGAACCGATTTCAATGAAACTTGGCACACGTTAGACTATCCTAACTTCAGCACGTTGTGCAAAATTTCGAGTCATTCGGGCTAAATTTGACTCTTTGGTGCACAATTCACTAAAAATCGGAGGAAAATATATATGGGAGCTATATCTAAATGTGAACCGATTTCAGTAAACATTGGCACGCGTTAGACTGTCCTAACTTTAGTACGTTGTGCAAAATTTCGAGTCATTCGGGCTAAATTTGACTCTTTGGTGCACAATTCACTAAAAATCGGAGGAAAATATATATGGGAGCTATATCTAAATCTGAACCGATTTCAATGAAACTTGGCACACCTTAGCATATCTAAAGTTCAGTCCGTCGTGCATATCAGCCTAAATTTGGCTCTTTGGTCCACCATTTTCTAAAAATCGGACGAAATTATATATGGGAGCTATATCTAAATCTGAACCGACTTTTCCCAATTTCAATAGGGTTTGTCCTCGAGCCAAACAAATGGGCTGTGCCACATCCAATTCGGATCTACTTTGCTTACAATTTAACATGGACAGACAGACGGACCGACATGCATAAATCGACTCAGAAAGTGAGTCTATGCATATTCTCAAAAGGAACCATAGGTCTATCTCGTACATAACATATAATACCCTGTACCACAGTGTGGTAAAGGGTATAATGATAATTTTTAATTCTCCTACTAACACATTTCTTGCTTTTCATTACTTTCAGAAATTGTCGCATATGTCAAACAGCCCGAACTTTTACATCATGGAATATTCCGTCCATCACTGTCACAACTCGATATACCTGAATATGTGCGACAATGTTTACGTTCATGTTGGGAGGAGGATCCCGAAATGCGACCCGATATTCGTTTAGTGCGCATGAAATTAAAGGAACTGCAGGCGGGACTGTAAGTATTTAATTGAATTCATTCATTTAAGATACCAAATATCTGAATATTTTTTTGTTGTTCAAATTTTTTGTATTCCTGCCAGAATAGTTAAAGTCCATTGCCGTTTTTGTTTGCTTAAAATAAAGTTTTTTCTGATAAATTCATAGAACAATTATTTATTTTGTATTCATTTATAATTAGCCACTGAGAATACTAAGTGGTGCAATTACCCAGTGACTTCTGGGAACTGTAGGTGTGTGTGTGCCAGGGTTGAATTTGGGTTACACCTTATGTAAGGACAGAAATTCTAAATTATTTTCGGGAATAATTTAATGCTACTGAAATATGAAACATGAAAAAAAAAGTTGAACATCTGTAACCAACAGTACAACTTACTTGATGTATTCGAAAAAAAGTTTAATTCTCGGAATATGAAAAATAAATAATTCACACACATGGGATTTTTCAAATTACTTTCTCAATTTTGATTCCCTTTTGGTGAAATTTTGCCAAAGGTGTCAATTATCGGATTATATTACAGTAACTTTTTTTTTCTTTTTTTGTTTTTCGGTGAATATGTGAATGTGTTAGGATTAGTGATAATAATTTTTTGACTTTCTGCAATTTATAAAACAATTGAAATGGAAATAATTGCGTGTGTGCTTTTATCTGTATTACACACATTTGAGTATTTAGTGGAAACTGTAATTTGGCCAAATGAAAATTATGTGAAAAATAATCCACTCACCACTGTATCATCATCATGATTTCCTACTTACATACGCTCTCCTACATACATATGTTTTTGATTTTTTTTATTTCGACACATCTAAACAATTTTGCAACGCACATACACACACATCACTACACAATATTTTTGATTCATTTCAGAAAGCCAAATATTTTCGATAATATGCTGTCAATTATGGAAAAATATGCATACAATTTGGAAGGATTGGTACAGGAGCGCACCACCCAACTCTATGAGGAGAAGAAAAAAACCGATATGCTGCTAAATCAAATGTTGCCAAGGTAAGAGAATACACTCTATGTACGCAGGCAAAAAAAAAGAACAACGTATGGGTAATTGCATGTAAACGAAATTAATTCAATATATTCTCTATTCAAAAGGCGAAGCATCTTTGCTAAATTGTTTACAGTGGATTGGAATAAATTATTTCGGGATGTTACAGCTACAGCGACTTGATCAAAACATAACATACATGCCTATACAAATTTCTCGAAATCGTACAAAAGCCATTAAGAGAAACTCAAAAAACGCACAATGCCGAATTTATAAGTTCTATACATTGCTTACGGCAATGTATATGTTCGATACATTGTTTCCCCTTCTACAGCATTACAATTAATCACTTTAATTGACCGCTCTTCGGATCCCAATAGGGATATCTTATACGCATATCTTCCAGGAGCTTAATTCGCCTAGTTCGGATTGTAGGGGAGGGTTTCGCTCTCTTCCACTATATCTCCTGGAAGGCACATTCGCTTAGTTCGGATGCAGAAAGGCACTTTCCAATGCTGTGGTCGTAGTTGTGTGGTCACGGCCTTGCTGTAGCTTTATTGTCCATCGCAACATTATACATGCTTTCCCGCTGTCGTAGATTAAACACTTGTTCTCTCGCTATCGTCGTTAACGCACACTAAGGTATAGTCTGGTTTCTCACGAAATCTATTCACTTTGCAAATAATGATTAAGGGAACGTATGAACTAGGATTATTGACTTCGCTCTAAAATTAACAAAATGGCGGACCTTTGAAAAAATATTTTTGGAAAATCGCCGATTTTTTACCAAAAACCAAGTTAAAAAACCAGTAAGGAAAGTAGTAAAGTCGGACGGGCCGACTATATGATACCCTTCACCACTTTGGGTATATTCAATAGATGGGATCCTAAGAGACGTCGCATTTTTGAAGGACCATTAACATGAAATTCAACATGTCATTCTGCAACCTATACAAAATTTTGGTCAGATATAGAGTTGCTTCTTACAATGGGGCAAAATTATGTAAATAAATTAAGGGGACCCCCCCCCCCATTCTCTGCGTCAAAATTTTGACTTAATTCCAATCTACACTAATTCAAGAATGTCGAAGTCAATAATCCTAGTTCATACGAGAGCCAGACATCTACTCTTTCTAACACCGTTGCAATTTTCGGATTCCGATGTTCCAGTGAGGAGTTATCATGCCCGCCATCAAAAATAAGGACTTTTCTTTGATCACAAAAAACAACAACAACAAAATTTTTTTAAATTATTTTTCTTCCTTTTTAAATCTTCAAATATATATGTGCAAAGTTACAAAGCTTAACATGCATTGGTATTCATTTACCAGCCCATTTAAAATCTTAAAAATAAAAAATCGAGAATCGGGGGGTTCCCTTAAAAGCAAAATATCGAAATCTAAACCTATTTCATCGAAACTATCACATGTTCGGCCACATTTTGAGTTCTTCATTTACTTATAAATCCAAATTTCTTGCAAATATAAGGATATGTAGGGTCTTTGGTGCACCATTTACATAAAATCGGATGAAAATATATATGGGAGCTCTATCTACATCTAAACCGATTTTCACGAAATTTAACACACATCGTTCTAGACTTAATTCAGTACGCTATGCCAAATTTCGTGCAAATCGAAGATTATATAGGGACTTTGGTGTACCATTTACATAAAATCGGACGAAAATATATATGGGAGCTATATCTAAATCTTAACCGATTTTTCCCAATTTAAATAAGGTTTGTCCTTGGGCCAAATAAGTAAACTGTGCCAAATTTCATCCAATTCGGATCATAAATGCGATCTGTAGATTGTTCACAAAAATTCATGGACGGACGGACAGACGGACATGCGTAATTCGACTCAGAAAGTGATTCTATGCATATTCTCAAAAGGAACCATGTGTCTATCTCGTTTCCTTTTGCCTGTTACAAAAATATGCACAAAGACATAATACCCTGTACCACAGTGTGGTGAAGGGTATAAAAAGAATTTGGTTCAAGAACCCCAAAATACCGAAAATTGGGGGGTACCCTTATATGGGGGCTACCCGAAAGAAGTGGCCTATATTTATAATTTATAGTGGAGAGATTTGCTACCTAATAAGAACTCGATGTACTAAATAACAGTTAATTCGGTCGAAAAATACGATCAAACCCCCAAAATACAAAAAATTTGGGGGTACCGTTATATGAGGACTACCAAAAAAACTGGACCTATATTTATAATTTTTGGTGGAGTAATTTGGTACCCAATAAGAAACCAATGTACAAAATTTCAGAGAATTCAGTTATAAAACGAGCCCAAGAACCCGAAAATACCGAAAATTGGGGATACCCTTATATGGGGGCTATCCGAAAAAATTGGCCTATATTTATAATTTTTTGTAGGGAGATTTGCTACCCAATAAGAACTCATAAATGCGATCTGTACTTTAATAACAAAAACACATGGACGGACGGACATGCATAAATCGACTCAGAAAGTGATTATATGCATATTCTCAAAAGGAACCATGGGTATACCTCGATTATTTTTGCCTGTTACAAACATATACACAAAGACATAATACCCTGCACCACAGTGTGGCGAAGGGTATAATGTATTCCTGATGCACATTGCAGTTTACGCATTTTCGATTTGCACAGCGTGTTTGTATGGATCTAAAATGACAAACGAAATACACAATTTTTTGCATTAATTCTGTCAGCGTTCTTTTAAATCCATACATAGCTCCAATACCTAAATCGACTCCGGCCGACTTTTGTCCTTTCCTTGAGGGGTTTTCTTTATCAAATCTCCCACAACACCTTCTGTACGATCAAATATCTTTTCACTACAAAAACCCTAAAGCCATATAACACTATCAGTTTCTCGAAATCGTAACCACTTCTACTCAAAAGGTAAGACGACCAAAAATATTGGTATTTTTAAACCTCAGGCAAACTGTCTTTTTCCAATACCAAATCTCAAATTTCATGAGAAATTATTGTTTCGATATACAAAACATCGAATGGGAAAACCAAGTCATACACAACAACAATGGTACAACAAAAATTCCCAATAACTGTCTGTTTTGCGTTGTACATAAAAATTCCTGTTAAATCCAATTCCGGTTGTTGTTTGAAGGCAGGAGGAGACACTGTTTTGATGTTATGAAAGTGAATGGCATTTGCAGTGGCGGTCACTCATTTCATTTAAATATAACTATGTTTCTGTTTTAATGATAATTTTATGAGAAAACCAGTAAGGAAAGTAGTAAAGTCGGACGGGGCCGACTATATGATACCCTTCACCACTTTGAGCATATTCAACAGATGAAATAGAAGCTATATCTAAATCTGAACCGATTTCAACGATTTCAGGAAACTTAACACACATCATTCCAAACCTCATCCATAACGCAGTGCCAAATTTCGTGCAAATCGAAAGATATATAGGGACTTTGGTAGACCATTTACATTAAATCGGACGAAAATATATATAGGAGCTATATCTAAATCTGAACCGATTTTCAGGAAACTTAACACACACCATTCTATAACTAATTCATTACGCTGTGCCAACTTTGGTGCAAATCGAAAGATATATAGGGACATTGGTGCACCATTCAGATTAAATCGGATGAAAATATATATGGGAGCTATATCTAAATCTGGACCGATTTTCAGGAAACTTAACACACACCATTATATTCCTAATTTATTACGATGTGCCAACTTTCGTGCAAATCGAAAGATATATAGGGACTTTGGTGCACCATTTAAATTAAATCGGACGAAAATATATATGGGAGCTATATCTAAATCTGAACCGATTTTCAGGAAACTTAACACACATCATTCTATACCTAATTCAGTACGCTGTGCAAAATTTCGTGGAAATCGAAAGATATATAGGTACTTTGGTGCCACGTTTACCTTAAATCGGACGAAAATATATATGGGAGCTATATCTAAATCTGACCCGATTTTCACGAAACTCAGCACACATCATTTTGGACCTCATTCAGTACGCTATGCCAAATTTCGTGCAAATCGAATGATATATAGGTACTTTGGTGCCTATATCGGGTGAAAATATATATGGGAGCTATATCTAAATCTGAACCGATTTTTCCCAATTTCAATAGGGTTCGTCCTTGGGCCAAATAAGTGACCTATGCCAAATTTCATCCAAATCGGATCATAAATGCGACCTGTACTTTGTTCACAAAAATACATGGACGGACAGACGGACAGACGGACAGACGGACGGACGGACGGACGGACGGACAGACGGACATGCGTAAATCGACTCAGAAAGTGATTCTATGCATATTCTCAAAAGGAACCATGTGCCTATCTCGTTTCCTTTTGCCTGTTACAAACATATGCACAAAGACATAATACCCTGTACCACAGTGTGGTGAAGGGTATAATAAGGAAGATCTTCACCGATTGGCTTTATCCTATTTCATACGATAGCTATACACTCACAGAGAAACGTGTAAAAATCGGGTGGAATCGATTGGGTCATTAGTTTTTGAGTTATCGTGCCCGCCATTCACAAAAGAGAAAAACGCGTTTAAAGTTTGAGAAGCCCTTTAGCCGTCACTCGATGCTGATACAATAAATCGGCTATATCTTCAAGAGTTTGTCTTGAATTTTGACCCCGAAAATGGGCGGTCCCCTTAAAAAAAAAATATTTACTAAACACTATTTCGTTTTTCTTTTTTAATTATTTGGGTTTCGCTTCTCGGTATCCTGTGATATCCTTCACCCCTACGGATTCATCTTGGGCAATCTCGTTCAGTTTAGTGATCGAACGAACTAGATTATTTTTTTTTAATTCAAATGGTTACTCAGTTCAATTGGCATGGCTGTGCATTCCCATTAAGTTCTGGCAGTTCAACCAAACGTAAAGAATGATGATCTTTCACAATCATTCGAAGGACTTTCCCATATATTTTCTCCACTCTTGTTTGCGCTGCAGTTGTTACTCTGGACACCATTGTCGCTTTTCCGTGGTTTCCAACTCCACGGTTGTCTATAGGGTTGCTTTGCTTTTAAATGTCGCTTCATATTTTTTACTGACCTTCCAGCTACACGTAAAACACTACTGCAGAATGTGAACTTTTATGCACCGCATTCCATGAAATGGGACAACAATATATTATAACAGATTTAATATGAAATCGTTCTTATTTGACACCGTTCAGTTGGTCAAAGTCAGTGCACCTGTGAACAACACTGAAGATGTAAAAGAAAATTCAATGTCGGTCAATGTCCGACAGCGTTCATTCCCCTTCTCTCAAACACTTCAAGAGCTGCCAGTACCATTAGGTACTGCTCGCATAAGTACCTAAAGGCCATGATCATCCATATAAAAGAACGGGTAATAGCAGACCCACTTTGGCAGACCTCTTTACAATTTGTTCAAAGGTGACTGTTACCGCTCATTTGCTGTTTGGTGTACAGAGTGTCATTTCTGTTCACATTTGCATCTCGTATGACCTTTTCCAGAAGAATGTTAAAAAGGTCACACGAAAACTGTCACCTTGTCTAAATCCTCGTTTGTTACGAAAAGGACTCAGAGAGGTCCTTTCCCACTTTAATTGCTGACCTTGTGCCAGTTAAAGTTATCCTTCATAGACGTATTAATTTTGCAGTAATCCCGAACGCAGGCATTGATTTACATACATCTAAACGGATAGGGCTGTCGAATGCGGCTTTATAGTCGTCGATTAGGTGGAATCTATCGATATGTTTTTCGTGGCTCTTTTCCAGGATTTGGAGCCGATCGGTTTGACAGGTCTGAAGCCAAAATGGTATGTTTCAATATTGTCGTTGACCATTGGCTTCAGTCGTTCATACAGCACGCTGGATAGCACTTTATATGCGATGTGAAGGAGACTTATATATAGTTGGTTGAGTTTCCAATCATTGGGCATGCATTCCTCTAGCCCAATTGTGCTAATCAGCTGGTGCATGCTCCTGAGCAGCATCTGACCTCTAGTCTTAAATAGTTCGGCTGGTAACCTATCCGCACCTGCTGATTTCTTATTCTTCAGCCGATTGATTGCGATTCTGACCTCATCTTGGCTAGGTGGTATACACTCTATACCGTCATCTCTTATTTGTTATGGAGTATCTTCTTTACCGCCACTATTTGTTTAAATAAGCATCGATCTAACCCAGCAGATTTCATGGTCAGGAAACTCACGTTAGATGTTAGCAGATTAGTCGCAGAGTATATGCGGAATAAATGGATGGAGCATCTGAAGTCAAGCAGATCATAGCTGCTTTAGATCATGCAGACCTTTCCTGACAAGCCACCATATGACAGTTAGGATGAATCTCTCATGACACCTGTAGATTTTCTTTATGAGGAGACGAAGATCCTTCCCTTACGTCAACATAGCAATTTCCAGGTTTTAGCCGGACTACTGTGACAGGAGTTATTTTGCTGCATGCAACGTCAGCGTATCCGCCAGTGTGTTCTCATAACTTTCGATGTCAACGTCTTCGTCGTCAACGACATCGTCGACAACTTCATTGTCTGACACCACATGCGGTACAAGGGCCAGGAAATGCATCGTTTTTGCAGTTTAACTGCGATTAACAGTGAAACAGAATCAGCGAAATCGTGAATTTTATTAATCTCAATAATATCATGGTCGCTGCGATCCAGGAAACCAAGCTGACTGATAGCAGTAGAATGCACCGTTACAATGGTTACAACGTGTTGCTGAAGGATGGCCCTAGAAACGGAGGTGGGGAGCTTGTTCTTGTTACACCATTCTGTACAGTACAGACCAATCTCGCCTGAACTAGACTCTATTGATCCATGCATGGAATGTATGGGGGTAGCAGTAAAGTGTGTTACTTCCGAGACAGAGGTTCTTAACGTGTACATCCCGCCGTTAAATAATTGTACCGCGTTATTTACCCGACATTAGTTTAGCTGATTGACAAGTTTTAAATTTTATTTTAACCCGCACACAAGGCGAAAAGTAGTGTGCTTCGTCGTACTAGATCCCTTCGAGCGGAAGAGGTACCACCATAATTTACGAATGATGATGTTGCAGATGTCATTCGAAACCAGGAGTTGAGTACGTAACTTCTGTACTCAACCTTTCGTTAGACACATGGAAAATAGGGTGGTCCCGCTACTGAAGGCCGATTTGTCTTCTGTCTCCAGTTACAAAGACGATTGAGTCACTCCTCATCCCTCTGATCCGGCCTAGTTCGAAACATTGGATAATTAAATACATGTGTGATCACCAGTTATATGTGGAAATCAGAAACCCGTTGAGAGAAACAGGGAGTTCCCCAAGATGGTGTCATATCTCCGGAACTGCCTAACCTCTACCTTTCTGAAATTCAAGTGGAAGAACATTAAAACCTGTTCGGAATGTCGCCCTGAAAACTGCAACAAGGTGCCTGCTTATGACATCACTGGATCATTTACCTGAGGAGGCAATGGTCTTACCTGTACATCGTCACAACAGGATGTTATCAATGCCGTACCTTCTTGGGTGTTATCCCGGAATCATCCATGCCATCATCTTATGGATAGAATTCTCCCACACAGGCATGTACAAAGAGACCTATATGGATACGAAATTTTTCTTGAAGTTCCGATTATGATCAAGACGATGCCTATAATTTTCGATGTTGATTAGATGATATTTCAAGGATGAAACAAACCAAAAGTTTTATTTTTATCTGATTCTCCTGTCTCTTTAAACGTCACAGTTATCAACCGACCATCACAAAGTTTCCATGAGGAAGGCGATCTGACCAACTAATTTGAATCGATGTCTAGATGATGAACGGTCAAATAAAAAAAAACTTTTTTTTGGTAAAATAACAAAATATGAATCTTATGGAGTAAATATTTATTCCGGAAACCATTCCATTCCGAAAAGATGCCGCAGAGGAGCTTTTGAATATAAATCCACAGGAACTTAGAGGTCAGTGAAAGTTGTGTAGGGTATGTAGGTATAGTCGGCCGACTTCACTGCTTTCCTTACGGGTTTCTGGCTTCAACTTGGTACGTTGTCCAAAATTTTGGTGCACTGTGCTAAAATCGGACGAGAGAAGATACAACTAAATGTGAATCTATTTTCACCAATATGAATAGGGTTCGACTTTCGGCCACATAAATGTGCTGTACCAAATTTAATCCACTTCAGATCATAAAAGCGACTTGTACATTGTTTAAAATTTTACATCAACAGACGGACGGTCCAACCTTCAGAAATTATTTCTATGCATAACCTCAAAAGTAAATATAGGTCTGTCTTGCTTCCTTTTGCATGTTACCAACCTATACACCAAGACCACAGAGTGGTGAAGGGTAAAAAATATCATAACACATATAACACCGTGTTTATTTTACGGTTACTTTTGAAACCACGAGGTGGATAAATCTATATAAGCAACCATATATAAGTCATTAGGCTTTACAATAATTTGGGTGTGTATCGTATACCCAAATGAATATAGTTTATCATATAGTTGGCTGCGACGAAAGCTGGCCTTCCGATTTTATCGTTTGAAATGACTCGTACATTATTGAAAATTCATTGTTAGAACAAATATTTAACAAAAATATTTGCACAGCATTTTTCCATTATTTTACGTTTCATTGTACATTTCCTAATAAGCCTGTTCGGTTCTTCCTGCTCATCGAACACCACACATTTGCATTTTAAATTTCAGATCTGTTGCCGAATCCTTGAAACGTGGCGAACCCGTCGAGGCGGAATGTTTTGATTGTGTGACAATACTATTCAGTGACATTGTCGGCTTCACTGAGCTCTGTAGTACCAGTACACCTTTCGAGGTGGTGGAAATGTTGAATGATTTATACACGTGTTGCGATTCTATTATATCCAACTATGATGTTTATAAGGTAAGTTAGTTGTTATTCTACGTGTGAGTTTTTTTCGTGTGTGTTTTATTTTGGTAACGATAATTACTTTGCGATGCGTGATACAGTGTCACAACACTGGGTACATTTTGAAAATGTTATAATGGATCAAATCTATTTAACGTTGGGCGCCATTCGTACTACGAATTTTACAAACAAAAAATTGGCAATTTATGAGATAATGATGATATTTCCGAAACTTTATATTCATATTTTCGAGGCTTTATAATGGATCAAATCTATTAAACGTTGGGCGCCATTCGTACAACGATTTTCACAAACAAAAAATTGACAATTTATGAGATAATGACGATATTTCCGAAACTTTATATTCTTATTTCCGAGGCTTTATAATGGATCAAATCTATTTAACGTTGGGCGCCATTCGTACAACGAATTTCACAAACAAAAAATTGGCAATTTATGAGATAATGACGATATTTCCGAAAATTTATATTCATATTTCCGAGCCGTTATATTCATAATACTAAACGACCACCTAAAGCCTAGAATTTTTTTAGCTTTTGTTCGCTTAGTTTGTGCACTGTACTCACCGTAATAAGCTATTTCAACACATACATAATTATTTTTTCCGTAGTTTGTGTGGATGGTTGTCTGACACTCCATTAATTTTGGGGATGTACGTCAACTAACTCTTTTAATTCCACCCTCACATTTTCCACCTTTTTTGGTTTTTTGTTTTTACAGGTGGAAACAATTGGTGATGCTTATATGGTCGTATCCGGCCTTCCGCTGAGAAATGGTAAACGTCATGTGGGCGAAATTGCGTCGTTAGCTTTGCACCTTTTGCAAAGTGTGGCAAATTTGAAAATTCCACATAAACCCAATGACACATTACAACTGCGAATTGGAGTGCATTCGGGACCATGTGCAGCTGGTGTTGTCGGTTTAAAGGTAAGTGAGTGAGTGCGTCATTTGTGTGCCATTAATTACCCCTACCAAAATAAAGAAAAACAAAAAAGATCCTTGAATACTTTACGCAACATTATTAAATTGCATGGTTTATGTAAAATTTCTCATTTGGTTTTCTTCCATTCGTTACGTTCCTGTTTTGTTTTGCGTTTCCCTTTTTCGTCGACAGATGCCACGTTATTGCCTTTTTGGTGATACAGTCAATACAGCATCACGTATGGAAAGTTCCGGCGAGGCAATGAAAATTCACATATCCGAGGAAACGTATCGTTTATTGGAGAATGTCGGTGGCTATCATTGTATTGAGCGAGGACTTATTAATATCAAGGTAAGATGGCAGGAAACCCAGGTGTATAATAGTCAAACATCATTAACTTAATGTTCTGTTCGATATAGACATTATTGGTTATTAAAGTCCAGTGATTTTTTGTTTTTGTATGAAATATTGGACTTTCATTAATAACTGAATCCTTTGTTATTTCCATGTTTCCTTATTTCAATTCTAATTACTGTATATTGTTATAGTCATCATAATGGAATTCTGTGGAAATGTTGAAGACGCTTTTGTTTTCCACCAGAAATGAGAAACATGTTTTCTTGAAAATTGTCGTGTTTTTGTGGAATTCCTTAAAGAACAATGGAAGTATATCTCTCACTACTGTTGGGATGTATGGAAACTTGAAGCAAAACTACATTAAGCAAGTCATTAAATATCGTACTGCGGCATTTTCATGAAAAAATGTGTCTTATAATTTATTAATTTTTTTCCCGGATGTTCTTCGAACATTTAAAAAGCCCAGTAAATGAAAACATGCTGAAAGAGTTACTTTGTCAGTTATGCTTAATAATTCTCACTTGAAGAGTTTAAAAAAAACTTTATAATAAAATATTTTTCACGGAATTCCAAAAAATATTTCATGTATTTGTTTCAAATACACAATGTTCAAAATTTATGTATCTCCGTCATTAAACGGTGAACAATATTGTAAAAATTTTAATTTTAAACCAGTAAGGAAATTAGTAAAGTCGGACGGTGACGACTATATGATACCCTTCACCACTTTGGGTATATTCAACAGATGAATTTTAACAGACGTCGCATTTTTGAAGGACCAGTAAAATGAAATTGGAACCATAAACATGTAACCTATACTAAATGTTTCATTTGCTCAGCTATATATCTGATCCTCTATCTGAGTCTGAACCGATTTCAAGGAGACTTGCCAGAGATTAATTTATATTAACCACAGATTAATTTATATTAAATTCATTGTACAAAATTGTGTGGCAGCTGGACAAACTTAGGGTCTTTAGTGCACAATTTACATAAAATCGAAAGAATATATGGGAGCTATATCTAAATCTGAACCGATTTTCACGAAACTTAACATACATCATTCCGGACCTAATTCTGTACCCTATGCCAAATTTCGTGCAAATCGAAAGATATTTAGGGACTTGGAAGCCCCATTTACCTTTGATCGGACACTTTAGTGCAAATCGAAAGATATATAGAAACTTTGGTGTCCCATTTACCTTGAATCGGAGGAAAATATGTATGGGAGCTATATATAAATCTTCCCGATTTTCTCGAAACTTGGCACACTACGTTCTGAACCTTATTCAGTACTCTATGCCAAATTTCGTACAAATCGAAAGATATATAGGAACTTTGGTGCCCCATTTACTTTAAATCGGACGAAAATATATATGGGAGCTATATATAAATCTGAACCGATTTTCTCCAGACTTGGGACACTTCGTTCTAGACCTAATTCAGTGCTCAATACCGAATTTCGTGCAAATCGAGAGATATATAGGAACTTTGGTGCCCCATTTACCTTAAATCGGACGAAAATATATATGGGAGCTATATAAAAATCTGACCCGATTTTCTCGAAACTTGGTAGACTTCGTTCTGGATCTAATTCAGTACTCTATGCCAAATTTCGTGAAAATCGAAAGATATATATGATTTTTGGTCCCCCATTTACCTTAAATCGGAGGAAAATATATATGGGAGCTATATATAAATCTGACCCGATTTTCTCGAAACTTGGCACACTTCGTTCTGGATCTAATTCAGTACTCTATGCCAAATATCGTGCAAATCGAAAGAAATATAAGGACTTTAATGCATCATTTACATAAAATCGGACAAAGCTATATATGGGAGCTATATCTAAATCTGAACCGATTTTCACGAAACTTAGCACACATCAGTCTAGACTGAATTCAGTACACTGTGCCAAATTTCATGCAAATTGAAAGATATATAAAGTCCCTATATATCTTTCGATTTGCACCTAAAATCGAACGAAAATATATATGGGAGCTATATCTAAATCTGAACCTATTTTCACAAAACTTAGCACACATCATTCTGGAACTAATTCAGTAATCAATGCCAAATTTCGTGCAAATCGAAAGATATATAGGGACTTTGGTGCACCATTTACCTAAAATCGGGCGAAAATATATATGGGAGCTATTATATTATATATATATATGGGAGCTATATCTAAATCTGAGGTGGCGTAGGGGATGATAGATATCAAGCAACGGCTCTGATTGGCGAAGTCCAGGCTTATCTTGGTCCCTCTTTCATCTCAATTGTGGACACTGACCTCCCCGCGGTGCCACCTGGGGAGCTATTCTCATCACCCGATGAAATAGTGAGCTAATATGTGCCGTGAGTTCACCCATAAGAACTATAAAAAAATGGGTTGAGGCGTCGGGTTAGTTGCCCACCCTCGGAAAACCCAACCTACTATAAAAAAGCTAAGAAAAAGAAAACCAAACACCCCTAATGTTGACGACCCCCGCAAACGTACAAAGGACCACGATCTGCGAATCTGCACTTGGAATGTTCGCACGTTGTACAGAACAGGCGCAGTGTTCGCGGATATACTCAGGAAGTACAAAGCCGATATTATTGCCTTACAGGAAATGCGATGGAAAGGGACAGGCGTAAGTAAATCAGACGATTACGCCCTGTATTATAGCTGCCATGAAACGAGATATGAATTTGGCTGCGGATTTATGGTTAACAGGAGAATAAAAGACCTTGTCTCCAGATTCACTCCAGTAGATGAGCGAATTGCTATAATCCGTATAGAAGCGAAGTTCGTTTACATCAGTCTAATTTGCGCCCATGCTCCGACCGAAGATAAAGATGAACAGACCAAAGACATATTTTACGAACGCCTAGAAACAGCATATGACCGTTGCCCTGGCCATGATATTAAAATTCTGCTAGGAGATTTTAATGGAAAAATCGGAAGGGGAAAATATCTTTGGCCCCACCGTCGGAAAATTCAGCCTTCATGAAGAAACATCGGCATGAGGTTGATTGACTTCGCAGCAGCAAAACACATGGTAGTTAGCAGCACCAGATTCAAGCTTCTCGATATACACAAGGCCACCTGGATCTCTCCTGATCAGGTAACGAGAAATCAAATTGATCATGTTGTGATAGACGGAAGGCATTCATCCAGTGTTTTAGACGTCCGATCGATCCTAGGAGCAAATATCGATGCGGACCACTACCATGTAGCAGCCAAGGTTCGCACTCGTCTTAATGGAAACTCGACTTCGAGTTTCCGTGTTGTGTGCGAAGTCGAAAAGCTGCAAACACAACAGGTAGCCGAGACCTACTCCGCTCAACTTACCCATCTGCTTGAAGAAAGCACTTCTTGTCCCGATAATAGTATAGAAACACAATGGCAAAGAATTGCCCACTCCCTACAAACTGCAGCAAAAAGAACAATTTGGTATCAAAAACCACCACCAAGAAACCCATGGTACGATCAAGAGTGTCGTAATGCTACTGATGTGAAAAACCAGCTGATTAGCACAATTCGGCTAGATGAATGCATGCCCAATGATTGGAACCTCAGCATCCTGTGTTCCGTGCACAAAAAAGGAGACAAGACGATATGTGCCAACTATAGAGGAATAAGTCTCCTTCCCATCGCATATAAAGTGCTATCCAGTGTGCTGTGTGAACGATTGAAGCCTATGGTCAATGACATTATTGGACCATACCAATTCGGCTTTAGACCTGGCAAATCCACCATTGACCAGATTTTCACTCTGCGCCAAATCCTGGAAAAGACCCACGAAAAACACATACCACCTATTTGTCGACTATAAAGCCGCATTCGACAGCCCTATCCGTTCAGAGGTGTTTAAAGCCATGTCTGCGTTCGGCATTCCTGCAAAATTAATACGGCTATGCAGGATAACTTTAAGTGGCACAAGGTCAGCAGTTAAAGTAGGAAAGGACCTATCGGAGCCCTTCAATACCGAACGAGGATTCAAACAAGGTGACAGTTTGTCGTGTGATATTTTTAACATCCTACTGGAAAAGGTCATTCGAGACGCAAAGATGAACAGAAATGGCACTTTGTACACCAAACAACACATGTTACTCGCCTACGCCGATGACATCGTTATAATGGGTCGAACATTGCGAGCGGCAACAGCCACCTTTGAACAAATTGATCAGACGGCGAGAAGACCAAGCTGATGGTATCAACGCGCAAGACGTCCAGTAGACTCGGGCCAACTGTGGAACTTGTGGTACCGCCATAAATACTTTGGTACCGCCATAAATAAAACGAATGACATCAGTTTTGAAATTCAGAGAAGGATTGTGATGGCCAACAGATGCTACTATGGTCTAAGTAAGCAGTTTAGAAACAAGGCCACCTCCCGCCAGACCACTTTACAAGACGCTGATACTACCCGTGCTATTATATGGATCAGAAGCATGGGTACTTGCGCAAGCAGATGAGGCAGGGTATTTGAAACAAATACAATCACAAAATTTTATGTAATAGTGTATATCTTTTGGAATTCCGTGAAAAATATTTTTGATAGGATAGACCTAGCTTATTTGGAGGAGCAATGAGATGGAATCGACGAAATTAACTGCGTGAAGTATTCTCCGGGCGTATTTCTCAGTAAGCTAAGCAAAATGTTGTCTTAATCGGATCAATATTGACACTATGGTGCTCCATTTACTTAAAAACGGACGAAAATATATATGAGAGCTATATCTAAATCTGAATCGATTTCAATAAAATTTCGCGGACGTCAACCTGCAGTAATTTCAGGACGCTTTGCAATACTTTGTCTCAATAGGATAAACATTGAAAATATTGTGCACCATTTACAGGAATCGAACGAAACAATATATGGGAGCTATATCTAAATCTGAATCGACTTTAACAAAACTTCGCATACATCAATACAGACCCAATTCAGTACGCTGTGCAAAATTCTGTCCAATCGGACAAATATTGAAATATCGAAAATATCTCTGGGATCTATATCTTAATTTTAACCGATTTTAACAAATTTTGGTATATATCAATATGTATCTAATTCAGTACTCTGTGCAACATTTTGTCTCAATCGGAAGAATATTGGGAGTTTGGTGCACCATTTATATAATATCGGACGAAGGTATATGTGGCAGCTATTTCACGAAACTTAGCACACATCATTCTTGACTTAATTCAGTATGCTATGCCAAATTTCGCGTAAATCGAAAAAAATATAGTGACTTTCGTGCACCATTAACATAAAATCGAACGAAACTATATATTGGAGCTATATCTAAATCTGAACTGATTTTCTAGAAACTTAACACACATCATTCTAGAAAGATATATAGTGACTTTGGTACACCATTTACATTATATCGAACGAAACTATATCTAAATCAAAACCGATTTTCTACAAATCGGATCATAAATGCGACCTGTGCTTTGTTCACAAGGGTACATGGACAAACGGACGGAGAGACGGACATGCTAAAATAAACTCAAAAAGTGATTCTATGTATGTCCTCAAAAGGAACCATGGTGCTATCCCATTTCCTTTTGTCTGTTACTAGCTTATATGTGTTTGCTCCGAAGGTTCCTTAAGAATAATCTGAGAATATCTTAAAAAGTACTTTGAAAAACTCTACGCTTACATCTTCAAGAATTTCTCAAAAGATTTTCTTTAAATGGCCACGTTTGTAGCAGGGAGAATCCCTTACAATGCCATATTACAGCATTAAAATAGCATGAACAATTATATCATGTAGTATCGCATCGCTTCTCGCTTACACTCTGACGTCAGCCTAATACTCTTCCTAACTTTTGTCACTTTGTCTGTTATTAATCGAAAAAATCGTTTCCGACCGAATAAAGTATATAATTTGACAATGGAAAATTCCAAGACGATTTTCCCATGTCTTCCGAAGGAATTGGGATAAGGTGTTGTCTGCAGTCAGATCAAGTTCGATGATTGGATATATCAGTCCATTTTTGGACATAGCCCATATAACAATACCCCCAATGTTTTGGTGGAGGTACCAAAAAGGGTCACCTTCGAACTTGATCTAGGCTTGGTAAATACATTGTCTGCAGTCAGATCAAGTTCGATGATTGGATATATCAGTCCATTTTTGGACATAGCCCATATAACAATACCCCCAATGTTTTGGTGGAGGTACCAAAAAGGGTCACCTTCAAACTTGATCTAGGCTTGGTAAATATAAAAGGTTGTGCAAAGTTTGGTTCAAATCGGACATTCCATTCGCCATTTAAAAATTTAGAACATTTACCAGAAGGAGCGGGCCAATGAGTCCTATTTTCGGACTTCATCTACGCTTGGTAAAGATAATAGGTTGTACAAAGTTTGTTTCAAATTGGATGACACGTTCGCATGATATTATAAAATTAATTTTTTATCATAGAAGACCTGAGAAAGGTTTTATGTCTATAGAAGATCGGAGGGAGTACATCTGACTATAGAAGACTTGAAAAGGGTATTTTCTTTTTAACATATCATCACTGGGTCTTCTGTCTAACGAGGGTATCCACTTTATAGTTTATACCACATGTAACGATACCATGGATTTACGATATTTTGAAGAAAGTAAAAACATTTTTTATCCAAATTTGTAATTATTTCTGGTTCCTCGTTGGGTGGGAAACTTACAAACAACTAATTATCAGTAGGCTTTCACTATTCTTCGTAATGAATGAAGTAGGACATTTATGGTCATTCGATTACAATCGTATCAAACGACTTACAAAGACATAGATACCGTAAAGACTCGACAAAATGCATTTTGGCAAAATAGTTTATGAAAAAATATCCAGGGGGAATCAAGGTTAACAGAGGCATGTTAAGAATAAAAACGCCAATACGCGAAAATGTGTGAATAAAATGTAAATAAAATTAGAGGCCTGCACTCAAAATATGTATTTTCATTTTATAAGCCTAAGATATAGCATTAAAAACGTTTAATATTGTTTGCTCTGTTGTTATGATATCGTAACAACAGAGGAAAGCCATCTATTGGAAATTGTCTACGTATCAACTGTCCTATCTTTATACTTTTATGTCTTTGTGACTTAGTTCTCTATTGGTGGTTCGTGTCTACACTACAAACACCAACAGCGCCAACTACCGGCAACTTGAACAACTATTTAATTTGATATGATTTTAAATGAATGTCCATAAATTCCCTACTGTGGCAGAAATCTATTGAAAAATACTTAACAATACCTTTAGATTCAAAAACTTTCGTTGAGCAAATGTATGCTCATAGATATCTTGAAAATGACTTGTTCTGATTGTTATAAAGTACCCTACCTTGTGCTGCACTCAATTCAAAATATATTCTATATATTATTTTAAAAAATAACTACTATTTCTTATTATTTTTCTATTACAGGGTAAGGGAGATATGCGCACCTATTGGCTGCTCAACAAATTGGAAGATCATCATTCGCAAGTTCCTGCCTTAACGTGCAACGATGCCACACCGGATCTCATCAGTAATGTTGATCCCGATAGTAGTACAACAAATAGTACAAATACCCTACATCCGATGTTGTTGAATTCCCACTATATGAAACATCTGCCCTATGGGTTGTCGTCCATGAACCAACAACAACAGCAACAACTACCGCAACAACGACTGCGTTATGTAAAAAATTCCTATTGTAATTGTGCCACCAAATGCATCTATAATCGTCGTTCCGACGACAATGTCAATATCAATGCTGCTGAATTACCGACCATTGCCCGCAAAAACCACGAGAATGTCTGCAACAATACACACTTGTGTGTGTGTCGCCTTAATAGCAGTATTCTGCATACGACCAATAGCCAACGGGGGCCACGCTCCGCACCCGTTATAACCTTTCGTTTGTGAAGTAAATCTCAACTACGACTATTTTCCTGCTGCTCCTTGAATACCAGAATTATATTTCCACTTGTTATAGCCCTCCTGTTTGGAATCCTTTTCCAATCGAGTTATACACACACATACACTATACATACGTACATATATACATACATATGCATATAAGTCATTGTAATCTATGTCTGTGTCATTTTGTTCCATTTTATCTGTCAATGTCTAACTGTGAACTGTTTGTTTAAAAAGTCAATAAGTCTTGTGTCAGGATTAGTTGCAATTTGAAGTGATATGTTGCAGTGACAATGTGGGTAGGTGTGTACGTCTTCGTCTGTGGGGGAGGAGAAACCCCAGAAAATAAATGGGAAAGTAAGAAGTTAAGTTCAAAAGAGGGAGAGTACAAGTAAGCACTTGACAGATGTTCTCCAGGATAAATGTAAAATTTTCTACCGATAGGAGATGGTCTGG